AATCCTTGCCGCGGTGTGAAGTGTGAGAAAGTTCTCTTTATAACTTCCCTCTGCTGGAAAACTCTCGTAATGAAAAAAATTCCTAGAGGAATTCTATTTTAATCAAATCTCCGCGCTTCTTTGCAAACAAAAGAATTCGTGCATTTTTTTTCCATCCGTCCCAAGCAGTTCAGTCAAAGAGGAACGTAACAATGATCGCTTTCTTTTTTTTGTCATGTCGACAGCAGGGTAACCCATCAATGATGCCGCGAGTAAACGGACGTAAAGTCCGACCCGTCTTGTCATGGTAATTGATAAGTCCTTTGGAGGAGAAGCAAAGTAGGGTCTTGACGAACTCTTCGAACAATCGCAGAGAGCGAATATAGCAACTCGTCGAAACAAGCGGACAAGACTTTCAGTCAGTCTTAACAAGAGACACTTAAGTATCTGGGGGGTGGTTCGCGGACTCAAGAAAAACCAGCCGGGCACGCAATTACAATCGACGCCGTTGCGGAGGACAGAGAGTCTCTAGCACTTGTGGAACGACAAAGTCGTCGAATAAATAGCCCCTCGCGTGACGATCCCCCCCGCCAAATCGTTTTTTCTTCCCGTCAATTTTTCGTCCTCGCATTCGAACAGCAATATCGCCGTCGTTGCCCGAGTCGAATTCAATTGCTAGCATTGAGAGAGAGAGAGAGAGAGAGAGAGAGAGAGATGGAATAACGGGCAAAGTGGATAGAGCGCCGCTGCAGCCGGCTGCGTCAATCCTAATCCGCGAATTTATGTGAAACGCGCGGATAATTATGCTTTTCCGGCGTTGCGAGCAGCGAGCGATCGATGCGCATCGCTACACCGTTCTCCGACCTCCCACGCTAATTTGACTTTATTATGCATTACAGATACGCGCTCTGTACACGCGTAGCCGAGTAGCTCTGGTCGCCCGTTTCGTTTTTCCTTTTTTTTTTCTACAGAGAAATTTAATTCGGCGCGCCAAAGTCTCCTTTCCTCGCGAATCGATCTTTTATTTTTCATTGTTATCGTCGACATCCGCTGGCTTGAGAATCGCGTGTAATCGATGGAGGAGCGTTAAGTTTACAAATAAACAGAAGAGCTATCGAACGAATCGATGGTGGAGGTCAAGTGGTTTCGGAAACAATTCCGATTGAATACTGCCAAATGTTTGAAACAGTTCATTCAAGTACCATTAAATGGTGCGCTGCACTTCATTAATTTTCATCGGGCGCGCCGCAGCTGTGAATAACACAATTTTGTTTTTGCCAACGCTGCACTCGACCCCCATTAAGCTCCGACAGTCATCGTATTTTATTTTATTTCGTGTTTTTCTCATGATCGAACGTCGAAAAACAAACAATCGAAAAAAAAAAACACAAGGGAGAGCTAATTAGAAGGCTAGCCTGCCAGAGGCCAAACGTCCGTCCTCGATTCCTATCCCTCGAGTCGTCGACCGATTCCGCTTGACAGTCTCGCAGCCTAATTACTCGGCACGTCAAATAAACTCGATTAGCCCTTTACTCCATCAGAACTTGCGCGCGATTCTCCGCTTTCCCGGCGTGGGTTTGAGGGCGGTGACGGGGGAAAAAAAGGCCGAAAGCTGGATAATCTTGTCGCGCTCGCGCCGACTAAATTGAATCGTCCACCTTAAATCTTAGCGTCCTGTTTAACGGCCCCCGGGGAGGAGGCTCGCAGCTTACCTGAAATATCGTCCAAGTTTGCTCGGGCGAAAGGGGGGCCCGGAAACGAAACTCGGCGCGCGCACGACTGCAGCGGTGGCGGCGGCGGCGGCGGCGGCGACGGCGACGGGCGATGGCGGCATTGTTCGTCGAAGGCGGAATCGCCACATATATTACGCCGACACGCTTGTCCTCAACTTTGGCCCATTTTTCAAGAGGCTCCTCCGCCTTCTTATTCAAAGGCAACTGGCAACTCAGGTGAATTAAAAACTTTCTCGATCCCTCGAACGGCGGGAGAGAAGATTCGCCGTGTCCACTAGCGCGTGCGCGCGATTTATCTTGTCTCGTGGCGAGCGACGAGAGAGGAAAGTGTACACTCGCTCGATTTTCGCGGCACGCAACAAACTGTTCGCGGTAATGCTTTTCCGCCCCTCTCCGCACATAACTCATGCTCTCTCGCTTCGCAACCGCTGCCACTGCTGCTTCCTCGCTGGTATTACATTGAAATGCTATTACGCGCGAGCCGAGCTCTCGCCGACTGATTCAATATTTTTCGGGACTGTTGCTGCTTTCGTTAGCATTCATCAAAGTGACTTGGCTTCTGGGCAACGCGTGGTTATCCAGTATATTTCCGAGGTGTGGGCGGAGGGTGGCAGGCGAATTAGAAATTTGTCATCCGAACGCGCGACAAATCCCGAAAGTTTCGTCGAGATGTTGTTGGCAGTCACTGCAAGAAAGTTGTTACGACTTGGTCGGATGTGCATGCACCGTAAAAAGTCCAACTGTACTTAGCTTCGCCCGTTTTTTCTCGTTGTTCGCAGTATCATGAACAACAACAACACGACGACGAGCACCTTGGAGAAGCCAGACCCGGACAACATCAAGATGTTTGTGGGCCAGGTGCCGAAAGACCTCGACGAGAACGATCTGAGAACGATCTTCGAGGAGTTCGGCCGGGGTCCATCAGATCAACGTGCTGCGCGACAAGTACACCGGCAGCAGTAAAGGTGAGCCGATCTATCGATTTGCCTTTTAACGAGATACAGCTGCGGAGGGAAAGTGCTCACGTCGTCGGGTAACGAGGCGCGCGCGGCAAAAAAAATCGCGCCTTCACTCGCATAATTGCGAGGAGTGCCAATTAGGCGAGTGTGCCTGACGTGCTCCCCCTCTCCCACTCCGACTTTATGTCCGGACAAAAGGAAGGGTCTCTCCGCGAGAGCAGCGATCGATACTTCTGCTGCTTTTCTCTTTTCCGACTGACTTTTCGCGACTCTCACTTTCTCCGCCCTTCGTTGTTGTCCGGTTACTCTCACTGTCACCCATTTTTTTTCGCGTCCCTCCCTGTCAAAACTTATCGAGGAGAGTTTTTTTTTCTATCTCCTCTTGTTGCTTTGTTAGGCTGCACTAACTCTTGCCGTACTTGTGTTTGACAGCTTAAAAGGATCTTGCTCTTCCGCGTCTCGTCTCCTTCTGCTCGGAGTCCTTTTGTCGCTATTTTTATGACGGCTTGCGTTGTACTGGACGACAAGTCGCGAGATAATTAAAAGTTGGCGATTTTTTCGGCGAGACCGACCGTTCATACTTTACGTAATGTATGGCAAAATCTTTCGTGATTAGCTGCTGACGCGGACGAATAAATGTATTTCGACGGTCACAACTTTTCAAAATAAATCACCGTCAATCACTTAACCAAGTATTTTTCAAATGATTATCACGCGAAAACAAGTTTATAAAGCTCGACTTAAAGCCCTGCTTGCTCGTTCCCCTTGCTGGGAGCAAAAAAAATTTCCTTCCCATCTTTAAAACTAGAAAGCCATCCTCCTTTTTTTCCCAAAGCCGCGAGAAAAAGATATTCACAAAACGCTCGGTCGCACCCCCCCCCCCCCCCCCCCCTCCCGTCCTCTCGCAGCTCGCTGATTTATAGTTTGACTAAGAAAGTAAAGTGGGAAGACAGAAAGAAGAAAGAGAAGCCCAAGATTGCAGGTCGCACGTGAAATTCCGTTTTAATCGATTATGCCTCCGCCAGGTCTCCCTCCTTACGTCAGATCAACTAATCCTCGACGAAACTTGTCGGGGAGAAATCTATATAGCCACGTCTGACCAAACTCCGACCCTGTTCTCCTTTGGGCACGCACGCGAAATTATCCCTGCGTACGCGTCGATTGACTCCGCGTGGGGGCGAGGGAGGGGACAGAGACGACGACGACGAAGACGACGACGACGACGACGACGACGGCGGCAGCGGCAGGGATCACAGGCGGCGCGCGCGCGCGCGCTTCAGCAAATATTGACTCGACGCAAGCCTCGGAGATCCGTGACGAACTGGCTCGCTCTCCGCGCGGAGAGCAACAGCTGCGCTTCCTGTTGATACTCGTCCGAACGAGGGGGGATGGGTGCCGGGGAAAAAACCACGTGCGCGACGTGCCGTCGTCGACGTAGCGGTCAGGTGCGCGCGACGGCAACGTTTCTCGACGAAGCGGCGTCTCGCGGCCAAATGCGATCGCGTCGAGCGGCGTATGCCTGGGAGATCGGCTCGCTCTCAATTAAAGCGAGTGCAGAGCCGTGTTCCGTCTTGAGAGTGTACCACGAAGCGAGGATAGCTTTCGACGGAGCGCGCGAGCGGGTATGTACCCTCCGAAGCCACTAATTGCCTTGCGCGCCCGTACCTGCGAGCTCGACTTGAAAGCTCTTCCGCTCGCTCGGGCGAGCGCGCATGATAATAATGACGACGATGACGTCCGCCGTCTGTTCTCGACGACAGTTCGGCCCGTTTTTTCGCGCGCCTCAATCTTCCTCGGGCTACCGAACTTCAATTACTTTTGCCGGGGAAGTGCTCTCTGCTCGAGAAGTTGGTCCGGCCGAGAACACGCCAACCGTGCGCCCGAGCCAACTCCGAGCCATTCAAGTTCGCGCGCTATTCCGGAAGCGCGATGTCAAATATTTCGCGCTCTCGAAAGATCAACTCGACGCCGCTAATTGTTCGGCAAGAGCGAAAGCAGTGGCCAAACAGTCGAGAGTCGAGCCAAGTTTGTCCGTTTTGGGCTCTCCTTCGGAACCAAAGAGAGAGAGGAGAGAGAGAGAGAGAGAGGAGAGAGAGGAGAGAGAGAGAGAGGAGAGAGAGAGAGAGAGAGAGAGAGAGAGAGAGAGAGAGAGAGGAGAGAGAGAGAGAGAGAGAGAGAGAGAGAGAGAGAGAGAGAGAGAGAGAGAGAGAGAGAGAGACCCGGTCACGTCCCTTGTACAGCGCTGCTCTGTCTCCCTCTCTAGCCTAAAGTTTTATTGGCTGTCGGTAAGCGTGCCCAAGGGGACTCTCTTCCAGCACGGGCGTCGATCCTTGAATAAGCGATGCGAATCTCTACAAGGGCCAACTCTCTCTCTCTCCCTCTTCGTCTATTGTTAACGATTAATCGCCTTTATCGCTCTCACTTGGGGAAAAAAACGAGCAGTTCCAAAGCTGTCCGTTAGGCGTCATCGTTTATTACGAGCGACGGCGGTTATATAACGAGCATCGTAAGCGTATCTTGTTTTAAGGGTCGAGCAGCGGCAGCGGCGGCGGCAGCAGCAGCAGCAGCAGCAGCAACAGCAGCAGCGCCCGAGCGTATAATCGATTTCATTAGCTCGTAAATTTCGCATTCCTGCATTCACCCGCGCACCGCTAACCGCGGATATGGATGTTCGTTACAGATATATATACGTTCGCGCGGTGCCCCGCGGGAATATATATCCGAAGCGTCATTACACTCGTCTGCGCCGACCGGCACTGATGGAGACAACTACGATTGTCAATATTTTAATAAGCGCCCGCGCGATCGCCGTTTTCGCTCGAAAAAGAACGACGAACGAAGTTCAATCTTCGACTTCGGGGACTGGACGGGTCACAACTGAAATCGCGGTTATTCCGTCAAAACGCACGCGCAAGCTTCGTAGAGCCCGTCGACAAAAAATTCCTCGTCAATAACTTTTCTCTTTTTCGTTTTTTCCCGTTTTGTTCTTCTGCTTTTGTTCGGCCGCGCGCGCGCGAGAAGGTAAAATCACAAGCTATTCGAAGCTTTCCAACTGTAAGTTTAATCAGTGCTACGGAGGTTGAAATCGATTTCGTAAATACTCTGGTACAGTCATTAAACCGGAAAGAGAAAAGAAAAGACAGCGAGGTGCAGCGTTGACCCAATTTGCCAACGCATCCGCGAGAACTGCATCCGCGAGAACTTTTAACGCCTGGCAGCTTTGAGCGAGCAGATTAGAGATAAATAATCGGCGTTTTTTTTTCGCTCGTATCCACGACGGCGAAAAATAGAAGAGAATTCTCGGCAATTTCACGCCAGACACTTCTCTCTCTCTCTCTCTCTCTCTCTCTCTCGCTCTCCCATGCGATGAAATTAGTTGTAAATTATACAAAGCAGAAGAATAAGCGCAAGAGAGGGCTGGAAAAAATCTGGCTGTGCGCGTATTTTTCATCGGGGGAGAGTACAATAAGCCGCTTTCTCTTTCGCCCGAGGGTCTGCTCTCACGGGGAATGCTAAGTGGCAAAGTAGCGCTTGCAACTGCTTTAATTTAAACTCGCGCGGGTTCTCGGAATTTCTCTACTTTCGCTTTTCAGCGGCGCGCGTACCTGCGCTCGCTCGCCGATTAATTGAATGCAATATTTTTCCTCCTCCCCCCCCCTCCCCCTTTCGAGCCCCAACGACGCTTAAGGTCTCTTCTCGATGAGAACGATTTCGCGGAAGAGGGCGAGAAACCCGGGGGGCAGGTATCGATTGGCTATTTTTGCGCGCGGCGCTCGCTCCACTTGCCGTGACGAGATGTCAGCCAAGAAGCTCGATAGAATGGGATCCCATGACTCGAAATGGCGTCTTTGCCACGCGGGGGCCAGAATTGAAAACGGCCGAACGGGGAGAGCCCTAGTGTGAAGAGGCCGAAAGTCAAATTAGATCGCATCATTATCAAGCGGTAAATCACGGGGAGCTCGCGCCGACAATGGCGTTTTTGCAATCAAAGCCGAGAGCTCCGGAGAGCCAAGCGCGAGCTGGCTTCCAGCCAGGATTATGAGAGGCCTCTCGCGCTCCAAGTTTAATTTCTCCGATCCTCGCGCTCGCGCGTCCCTTGGGACGACTTTTCTTCCTCTCGCGCGCGCCGCCCAGTGTAATTGCTCCGGTGCGTCAGCGGTGAGGGCGGCGGCGGCGGCGGCGGCGGCGGGGAATACAAGCATGTTTATCGCGCGCGGAATGTAGAACGAGAAATCGACAGCAGCAGCCTCGATGCCGCGGTAACCCGATCGAGATACTTGTTTGATTTCATTGTTGCGTCATCGGCCCGCCCTACAGGTATACAGGCGCGCGTCTGTCAACCCAGTTTCTCGCTAGCGCGCGTCACAGAGACAATCCCTCTCGCTGGCTTTTCTCTGTGAAATTCGAAATCCAGTGAAAGTAGAACTCGCTCGGCGAGCGCGCGCGCGCGCGTGCGCTACAAAACCTCAATCCCTTTAATGGAGACAAATCCTGCCACCCGACGACGAACAATTTGTAAGAGTATATCCCTCCCAGCCACCCGCCGCCTTGCAGCCCGACATTAACGCCTTGTAAGGCTAAACCTAGCCTGTAGCGCGCTCCGCTCCTTCTTGCCCAATCATCTTTTCAGTCCTCGCGCGCGCTCGCCTCCTTTTATCTTCCGGCTTGCTCGACCTTTTCCCCCGAGCCTTGGCAAAGGCCGAGCGCGGGCTCTCGTTGGACTTTTCAGGCTGGCAATTCTTGGCGCTGTGTGTCGCCGCCGACGACGACCAATTCTGCACAATCGATCGAGGACATAAACAATGCACGCTGCTGCGGATTATACCTGCCAGTGAATAATTCAGAGGACAATTTGCGAATGGCGAGTGCGCATCTCCTGGGATCTTATTTTGACGATCACCTGGAATAGCAAATGCTTCTTTGTGCACGCGCTGACCGTATCGACGTAAAAGAGAAACGCGCACATGCGCCTCGTCAGTCGCGAATATAACTAATGGATGAACTTA